CTGGATATGAACCGGCCTCTCCCTGATGAAGTTTTGGCTTCCCACGAGGACCCTGCCAAGGGCTGCTTCAAGGTTCGAGTGAAGTTCGAGTCCCTTCCCCAGTTCTGCTTCTTGTGTGGGGTGATTGGACATGTGAACAGGTTCTGCCCCAGCAAGGATGAACTCGCTGGGCAGCCCCCAAGATATGGGAAACACCTGGTGGCGAGTGAATTTGGGCCTAGAGTGCGTGAAGACACGCTAGCGCGCCGTCGTAAGCGGGTAATCTGGACCTTGGCTGGGAATACTGCTGGCGCACGTTCGGCACAGAATGCTCGCAATATCAGAGCAAGTTCAGGGCATGCTACTGGAAGTGCTCCGTCGAGTAGGTGGCCGTAACCTGGGAGAGCTCTTGCTGGAGGCCACCAACCTTCCAAATTACCCCTGGGAATGACATCTCACTTGGGGCAGCTCTGTATTTCTGCTCCTTCAGATGGCGAGGCAATTAATCCATTAATGGATCCGCAACAGCAAGTGGTGGGAATGGCTGAGCAGCAGGAGCCGAGTGCTAAGAGAGCCAGGCTTGGCCCAAATGGCAACGAGGCAAGGTCCAACGAGAAGCTCGAGGTGGAGGCAACCGGCCCTGATCGGTCCCAGTCCGATCCATGAGCATACTCGCCTGGAATTGCAGGGGATTGGGAGCACCCCTGACAGTTCCGGTCCTGAAGGAAACCTTGCTCCGAGAATCTCCGTTGCTTGTGTGTTTGAGTGAAACCAGGAGGGATGATGAGTTTGTGTTACAGCAGTTTGGTAGTCTTGGCTTCCCTGAGGAGCAAGTACATAGTGTGTCCAATAATGGTAGTGGTTTAGTGGTGGCCTGGTCATCTAGTCTAGTCTGTACAGTTTCAGTAGAGTCTTTGGGGTTTTTATTTGTTGAATATGAGCATCTTTCTTTCGGCAGATTTGGTGTAGTTTTTGTACACTTAAGCTGCGAGGAAGGTCTTCGTCAGTTTCAGTTTAATGAAATTTCCTATATGATTTCCTTGTATGCTGACCCGGTGTTCGTGATGGGTGATTTTAATTGTCTTCTTTCTAGTAGTGAAAAGCAAGGAGGTCGAACCCCTTCCCCAGCAGCCCTGGCTCCGCTTAACCTCTTCCTGGGGGAGGCTGGACTTCATGATCTGGGATACATTGGACCTCGATTCACTTAGACTAACCGCCAATCAAATGATGATCATATCCAGTCTCGGCTGGACCGCTGTTTGGGGAATAATAATGTCCTTGCTGTTTGGCCCGATGTGCAGGTTCACCATTTGTCTGACAGGGGATCGGATCACATGATGCTTTTGTTGAGATTGGTTAAGATGGAGAACCACAGAGCCCGAAGATTTCATTACGACCGAAGATGGGATTACAACCCAGATGTACCTCCGCTAGTCCATTCAGCATGGCAGCAACCCGCTGGCGGCACACCCCTTTTCAAGGTGCAAACCCGACTGAAACATGTGCGACAGGAGCTGCTCGGGTGGGCCAAGGCGGGTACGACAAACTCAGCCGGCCAAATCCGGGAACTGCGAGCGGCTATTGACGCGGAAAGGGAGGCTGCTGCAGTTGACTGGTCAATTATCAGCAACCTAGAGAGACAGCTGGCTGATGCGTACAGGCAGGAGGAGCTGTATTGGAAACAGAAATCGAGAGTCAACTGGCTTCATGGTGGTGATGCCAATACTCACTTCTTCCACGTGACCACAATGAGGAAAAGGCGGCAGAACTTCATCCCTGGCATTCATGACGCACAAGGGATACTCCAAACCGCGGAATCGGCTAAAGGGGAAGTTTCTATATCCTACTTTGAATTGTTATTTTCTTCTAATGGCTTGAACCCCACTGATTTTATACACAGCTTGGATCTTCCTCTCAAGGTAACAGGACCAATGAATGATCAGCTCACTATGCAGGTATCTAGGTCGGAAATTAGGCAGGCAGTGTTTAACATTGGGAAAGGACAAGCTCCCGGATCCGATGGCTTTACTGCTGCATTCTATCAAAGGTTTTGGGAGGAGATAGGATGGGATGTCACTGAAGGCATTATCATTCTTCCAAACAGGCCGCCTGCTCCATAGTGTGAACCACACACTGCTGACCCTCATTCCGAAGGTTGGCAATGCTGACTCCATGCGCCAAATGCGGCCAATTGGGTTATGCCAGGTTTTGTATAAAATTATCGCCAAAATCTTAGCATCAAGGCTCAGTTCCATTCTTCCTCAAATCATTAGTCAATTCCAAAACGGTTTTGTCAAGGGTCGGTGCATCTCCGATAACATTCTCATTGGCCAGGAAGTGATGCAGTTTCTCAAGACCAAGACTCGGGGACAGGACAAATGGATGGCGTTAAAACTGGACATGGAAAAGGCATATGATCGAGTAGAATTGGAGTTTCTGTTCCAGGTTATGCAATCGATTGGCTTCTGTGAGAAGTGGATGGTCTGGATCAGAGCCTGTGTATCAACGGTCCGCTTTTCAGTTCTTCTCAATGGAGCCCAGTATGGTTACTTTCAATCTCAGAGGGGGATTCGCCAAGGGGATCCATTATCTTCGCTGCTGTTCGCCATTTACACGGAAGCCTTCTCGGCCAAGATTAGCCGAGAGATTGCCTCCTCCTCACTCCATGAGTTAAGAGTTCACAGGTCAGCTCCTCCCCTCTCTCACTTATTTTTCGCCGACGATTCCTACCTGTTTCTCAGAGCTTCAATTCCTGAATGTGCGAACTTGATGCAATTGCTTTCTGATTATGAGGCGTATAGTGGTCAACGGGTTAATCTGCATAAATCCGCTGTGTGTGTTAGTGGTAATGTCTCTGATCAGGAATTCCAGGCAATTAGTTCCTTTCTAGGAGTGGGAATTATGCAGCCTGATGACAGGTACTTGGGACTTCCCTCTCAAATTCGTCGCTCTAAGTCCCTAACTTTCCAGTTCATTGAGGAAGACTTGGCAGCTCGAATTAGTAGTTGGAAGGCAAAGGCTTTATCATTGGCGACGAAGGAGGTTGTTATCAAGGCGATTGGGGTTGCTGGTCCAATCTATGCCATGTCGGCATTCTGGCTGCCTCAGGAAACCTGTCGTAGATGCAATGGCCAGTTGTCAAAGTATTGGTGGGCTGGCCAGGATAAGGAGAAAGGCATACATTGGATTTCCTGGAGTGCAATCTGTCAAAGCAAGTTTACAGGTGGGCTTGGTTTTAGGGACTTTAACAGGTTTAACATTGCACTCCTAGCTAAACAGGCTTGGCGAGTATTATTCTCACCTTCCAGCACCATAGCCCGTATCTATAAGGCTCGCTATCACCCGGTACATGAATTTCTCGATGCTTCGGCGGGGGCTCGTCCATCCTGGGCTTGGCAGGGTATTTTGGAAGGGAGGGATCTACTCAAGCGTGGTTTGAGGTGGCAGGTCGGAGACGGGACTCAAATCCGGGTCATGCAGGATAATTGGCTGCCTACATCTCCCCCTTCAGGCCCTCAACTACGACCAGGTATACAATCCTGCCCTTTACTTGTTTCTGAACTCATTTGTCATACAAACCATTCGTGGAAGGCTGATCTCCTGAAATCTCTTTTCATGCCTGTGAGTGTGGATCTTATCCTGTCCATTCCACTTCCTGTATCCTATACTTTAGACAAAATGATTTGGCATTACTCTCCTTCTGGAATTTATACTGTAAAGACAGGTTATCACCTACTGTCCAATGAGTATAACGTGACGCACCCACCGCCCCTGCTGCCCTTTGAGTCGCGATTTTGGAAACTTCTTTGGAGCTTGCCGGTGCCGCCAAAGTTGAGATTCTTCTTCTGGCGGGCTGTCCGTGGCTTCCTTCCGCTTCAAACAGTCTTGTTCACCAAAACTTTGGTTCAAACCACGGAATGTCCCATCTGTTCAGCGGAACCAGAATCATTTTCCCATTTTTTCTTTGGCTGCAGGGTGGCGCGCGGTATATGGAGCTTGGCGAACAGAGAGGCCTTATGCAGCCACCTTGGGGGAATGGCCCCTGATGAAGCGTGGAATCATCTATTTTTCTCCTTGAACCTGTCTAAAACTGGAATTGCAGATGTGATTTTCATTTTATGGAGGATCTGGAAAGCTAGGTGTTGGTCTGTGCATGCCCATATCCAATATTTGCCTTTGCCCTTGTTTCGTCAGTTTCAGCGGCAACTAGAAGAATGGAGGGGTGCTGAACAGGTGGCGCCAACTATCCCCAGGCTAGGTCCCGGAACAGGCTGTAGAACGGGCAACGGCGACCAGACAGCGGCGGGATTACCTTCAACTGCAATCACCGTTTGGTATGACGGGGCAGCTAAGCGGGGACGAGGTGGTAGCATTGGCTTTGTTGGTTTTCAACCTACAGGTAATGTCCTATTTGCTTTTGGGAAATACTACGAGGGATTGCATGATCCTTTTGTTATGGAATGACTGGCTTTACGGGATGCTTTGCAATGGTGTTTGACTCATGGTTTTGTGTGTGTCCAATTTCATGGGGATTCGCAACAACTGACGCGGCGGATGGTGGGGGAGGATTTCGCTCATGATCGAGGTGGTGCGGTGCTAGAAGATGCCCGAGTTCTAGCTGCCCAATTCAGTTGGATCTCGTTCTGTTATGTTTCCCGTAGACTTAATAGGGCCGCCCATCTTGTGGCACATAAAGCCCTCTCATCGGGAGTTCGACTATTGGTCGACTCCCGCGCTTTACTTAACTCTTCTATTTGACTCTTGTTACCCCTAATTTTGGAAGAAAAAAAAAATTCCAAAACACACTCGTATAATTTTTACCCATTATTTTTGCGGAAAAGCCAAAGATATAGTCTGTCGACTGTCTGTCCTAAAATTAAGCAAAAAAAGTATAAATTTCTATTCCTTGACGATCCCAGTATATCTCCATGGCTTGATCTTGGAGTCTCCACGTGTCAACAAGACAGCCACGTGGTCTCACCAGGGTGCCGCTATTGGTTCTCGTCACTCGTCGGTCCATATGATCCCACATGACAAAATTACTCCTCCACAGTCTCAAATTTGAACTTTTCTCCTCCTCTCGAACCCTCCCTATTTCAGTTTCACCCGGGGCACCGAAACACCCGCCACGCCGAACAGCCATGGCTTCCTTGAGCTCGCTCTACCCTCCGTCGCTGTGCTCTTGCTCTTCCTCTGGGTCTTCGATCCACGCCAGAAATTCGACCGAATCGAGACTAGCTCCCTCCCTTTCTCGACACACAAACCACCGTCTTCCCGCCGTCAGCTCCTGCCGTCCGAAGAGGACGAGGGGGAGCTTTGTTCTGAGATCGGCTCTTGAAGACACCTACGTCCTCGAACCACCACCGCCGCCCGCCCTCCCTCCTGCTAGCAGCGCTGAACGTATCGACTGTTTGAAGCTCAAATTGCTGGTGAGTTTTTCATTTCTCCCGAGTCCGGCCAATTCCTTGCCCCATATCTTTATAGTTCGTTCTTGAATCTCCTGTGAATTCCATCGCTTAGCGATTCTGAATTCTTCCGATTGCTTCGATGAATGTATCCGCTAATCCCTGAATTGGTTTAGGTTTTACTTTGCTAATTGCCACACACATGTTCCTGTTATTGTTGCTTGTTAGGTTTAACTGAGTTTGTGGGTACTGGGTAGGGGTTCAATTTTCCGATTTCATGCTTGATTTCGCCATTTCGGTATCAGATAATTAGGGCTCACCTTTCATTTGGTCAGTTCTGTCCCCTGTGTCTTTCGGAAACTTAGTGGGAACGAAGGAACAGCCTATACATTTAGGCAGTAGGTATTTGAAATGTAGATATGCCTGTGTTTCCATTGGGAAGTTTCCTTGGGTTTCTTTCAGCCGGAATTGTGTGTTTGTGTTGATTACAATGCAGGGTGTGGTTTCTGGGCTCAACCGGGGTCTTGCTGCAACTGAAGATGATCTAAAGAAGGCAGAAGCTGCAGCCAAGGAGCTTGAAGATGCAGGAGGACTAGTGGACCTGGCATGTGACTTGGATAAGTTGCAAGGGAGATGGAAGCTTGTGTACAGCAGCGCCTTCTCTTCTCGGACTCTAGGCGGAAGCCGTCCTGGTATCCCCACCGGAAGACTGTTACCCGTCACTCTTGGCCAGGTTTGTGTACTGATGATAGTGTTCAATCTAGAGTCTAGACTGTGTTCCTGCATCTCTTTGGGTTGATTCATTGATATATGAATGAATGGTTGACTATCCTTTTGCCACGATTTTGAGTTTGAAGCTGTCCTGCTTTCTGTCGCAGGTTTTCCAACGGATAGACGTCGTGAGCAGAGATTTCGACAACATAGCAGAGCTTCAATTGGGTGCTCCATGGCCATTGCCACCAGTTGACTTGACTGCAACTTTAGCCCACAAGTTCGAACTCATAGGTGAGACTTGGCTGTTCAGCTTCTTAGTTACCTCAGTCCCACTAATTGTTGGTAACTTATGTTAATCGCTGAGTGATTGGATACAGAACAGAATATTGAACCCAGTTTCCTCTACTTGTATCATGATTATGAACAGGATCGGCCAAGATCAAAATCAACTTTGAGAAAACAACAGTGAAGACGACGGGTAACTTGAAGCAGCTTCCTCCGCTGGACATCCCTAAGCTACCAGAGGCTCTGAGGCCTCCATCAAACCCGGGGTCTGGAGACTTTGAGGTCACCTTCCTCGATGGCGACACTCGGATCACTAGAGGGGACCGTGGCGAGCTCAGGGTGTTTGTCGTCTCATGATTTATGGACCCATGGGCAGTGAAATGACACCGCTACTCCATCAAGTTGTTTCCTAGTTTGTGTATGAGAATCATCCGCAGCCGTTGATGTACACCTTTTTTTTCCTGCTTTGTGGAGTTTTGTATAGTGTAACACTCACCATATGTCACGGCGCGATCCGTAATCCGAGTCTGGACAATGGACTATATGTGCCATCTGGTGTAGCATGGTGTAGAATGCTGCTTTGATGGTATGAGCAAATGGTCTGTGCAATGTCAATTGCCAAAGACCTTAATTTTATAAGGCTGTTCAACAGCTGAAGAACTGTGCATTCTAGCACGTTTTGGCTTATCGATTTTGCTTTTTGCTGTAAAAAAATAATGCAACTCATCAGCGCTAATCTATTTGGCAGACTGATATGGCGGCAAAAGCATTTAATCTCTGCCATTGGATAATCTAATGGAAATTTGGACGCATTTTAGAAAGGGGTCCTTCTAGTAAGGTTGATTTAGTAAGGTTGATTTGTTTGGAATGAAGCAATTTGACAGGATTGGCAATATAAAATTTGAATGAAGCAATTTGACAGGAGGAACTTTGAATGGACTCATTTTGAGATCATTCCAATTGTTTGAATTGAGAATACGTAATTCAAATGGACTGGTTTTGTAAAATGCGACAATAGATCAAATTATCTTATTTTTTAATTGATCAATTCGAATTGTTTGCCATCACCTTAAACAATTATAATTGTTTCAAAATGAGACAATTTAAAAAAATTTGGCTTAAATTATTTCATCCAAAATTTATGTGGCCAAAGAGATCAATTTTATGAGTTCAAATTGGATTAAATTGCATAAATAGAATTTCTCATCAAACCGACACAATTGTTGGATTTCATCAAACCGGTCAAATTTCAATATGAAGTAGCATTAGTGGATGGGCCAGAATCGAAATGGGCCCGATTGCATCCAATGATTTCGACCCATCTCTTCACGGGAAAAGGAAAGCAATCACAGCGCGGAGAGAGCGATACACTCATCAAGTGACTCAACTCAACTAGCGAACTATCCGTTAGACTCTCCAACGGCTACATACAGTTTTCTCTTTTGAAACTTCAGAGACCCCAAAACCCAATTCTTCTTCCAAACTCTCTGCTTCGAGCTTTCTCCCGTCTCTTCGCTCTTCCTTTCCTCTTTCCCTCTCCAGTTCATTAAGCTTCTGATCTCCCATTTTCTTTCTCAAATTCTAGCTTTTTCGTTCAAAATTTCCCAAAAATTGCGCCCAAAGATCCAAGGTTTGGCCTCTTTCGATTCTGGCTTAGAGATGGCTCCAACGCCATCTTCTTCCTCCAAACCGCACCCTACCCACCACTCTTTCAAGACCCCTCAATCCAAACAGCGCCTCAATTTCGCCTCCGCTCGCACTCCTAATCACCAACCCTCACCAAACCCTAATTCCGCCGTCAAGGAAATCCAGCCGATCGATCACCCGATCGAGGTGATCGGCCGCATCAGGGATTTCCCCGACCGGAAGGAGAAACCTGCTTCAGTCTTGAACGTGAATCCCGACGGTGAGACGGTTAGAGTCCGGGCGGAAATCGGCTACAGGGACTTCACCCTCGACGGAGTTTCATTGTCCGAGCAGGAGGACCTCGATTCATTCTACAAGAAGATCATCCAGTCCAGAATTACCGGGGTGAAATTGGGGGAGAAGTGCACGATTATGATGTACGGGCCGACGGGTTCTGGGAAGAGCCACACGATGTTTGGGTGTCCCAAGCAGCCAGGGATAGTGTACAAGGGTTTGAAGGATATTTTGGGGGAAGGAGGAGAAGAGAAAGGCAGCCATGGGGAAAAGCTGGGGATGATGGCTACTTTCGTACATGTCACTGTTCTGGAGATATATAATGAGGAAATTTATGATCTTTTGTCCAGTAATGGTGGGGCTGGAGGGTTTGGAATTGGGTGGCCTAAGGGTGGCAGTGCCTCAAAGGTAAGAAAGAGTTACCATGACTCTTGTGTTGGAGCTTCTGCTGGGCTTTCCTTGCTTGCTTTTATTGAGTTGGAAAGTTTGGACATGCTGGTGGTTCCCCTGGTTTTGGGTTTGAATGGGACTTCCTTCATCTTCTAGCTGCTGTTCTTGTTCGTGGAACTAACATTGTCGATATCTTCTTTACTCTATGAGAACTTTCTGATGAGCTTTTTGCTTGATTTATTGAGTTGGAAAGTTTAGGACTTGCTGTTCTTCCCACAGTTTTTTGTTTGGTTTAAATGGGTAGTAACTTCATGTTATAGCTCTTGGTTATGTTTCTGTTTGTTGAACTAGTATAGTAGATAGCTTCTTTACTGTCTCCTTGCTTTTACTGTGTGAGAACATCTGTGGCAGCTAGATGCATTTGACGCGAACTTTAGGGATCATTCTGTCCTTATAAGCAGAATCTTGGTTGTTAATTCTGTTCCTCTCAGTTGAAATAACACGGTGGATGTTCTGTATAGTACTCTCCTAATTTTTACTGTATGATCTAGCTCCCGGTCAGGTGAAATCCTTGGTGTTCATTATTTCCTTATGAGCTGATCCTGTGTTCTCAATGCCAATTTTGCAGGCAAGACTCGAAATAATGGGAAAGAAGGCGAAAAATGCCACTTTCATATCTGGGTCTGAAGCTAGCAAGATTCTGAAAGAGATTCAGAAGGTGGAGAAGAAGAGGATTGTCAAGAGCACTCTCTGTAATGAAAGAAGTTCCAGAAGTCACTGTATGGTATGTATGAATTCTTTAACGAGGGTTCATGAAATTGAATGTAATGCCTAATTCCTTTCTCACTTGGAAAAATCACTTGTTTCTCTTCATCTTTCCTTTCATATAGATTATCCTAGATGTTCCAACAGTGGGAGGCCGCCTGATGCTTGTAGACATGGCAGGATCAGAAAACATTGACCAAGCTGGGCAAACTGGCTTTGAGGCTAAGATGCAGGTAGGTAAAGTTGGCAATTCAAAGTTGCCTTGATTGTTAAAAAGAAAGGTTGTCTTAAAGTTGTTCTAGAATCAATCTAAGGGAGTTTTGAGATTCACTTCATTTGGAATAAACAGACAGCCAAGATAAATCAAGGGAACATAGCACTAAAACGGGTGGTTGAGTCAATTGCAAATGGAGATTCTCATGTGCCTTTCAGAGATAGCAAGTTGACTATGCTGCTCCAGGTAAAAACTTCCTCAGAGTTTTGACATGGGGTGAAACATCTGCTTTCTTTGGCTTTGGATTTTTAGTTTCTCTTTTTACTATGGTGCAGGATTCTTTTGAAGATGACAAGTCAAAGATTCTAATGGTTCTTTGTGCAAGTCCTGATCCAAAGGAGATCCACAAGACAATCTGCACTCTCGAATATGGAGCTAAAGCAAAGTGCATTGTCCGTGGCCCTCATACCCCAATCAAAGATACTGAGGACTCTAGTTCAGTCGCATTGGGATCTAGGATAGCAGCCATGGACGAGTTCATCTACAAGCTGCAAATGGAGAACAAGGCCAAAGAGAAAGAGAGGAGCGAGGCACACAGACAGCTCATGAAGAAAGAAGAAGAGATAGCTTCCTTAAGAGCCCAGATTGCAGTGAGAGAAGCTATAGTTCCGAGTGAAGAAGAGATCAACGTGAAGGTGAATGAGCGAACACAGATGATGAAAATCGATCTGGAGAGGAAGTTACAAGAATGTCAGAAGGCAGCTGAGAAGTTTTTTGAGATGGAGAAGAAGAGGATGGAAGAGAAGATATTGCAGCAGCAACAAGAAGTTGAAATGCTGAGGAGACGACTGGAAGAGTTTGAGCTGGAGGCAAGTCGTCCTAAGGTTAGCGGGTTGGAGCAAAGGGATGCTGCAAATGAAGTGGGTGGTTGCAGAAGTAGCTTTGCAAGCAGGCTGTTGGGAGGTTGTGGTGGAGACGATGAGGCAGGGATGGTCAAATCAATGGATCTGGACATGGGGGATCAAGAAGTCTTTGTGCGCGAGGTTAAGTTTGTAGACTCAGCTTCTAATCAGCCAGGCAGCAACATTGACAGTCCTTATTTCCCTCCACAGACTGATGCATTTGGAACGAACTATGGTGATAAATTTAATCTCAGCACAGTTTTTGAAGAGGAAGAAGTGGATGAAGAAGATGATGAACAACAGAAGGTGGATGAGGAGGAAGAAGAAGAAGTTGAGAAGAAGGTTATAGAGGTGGAGGAGTGGAAGAAGCAATCGAGTCAGGGAGAGGACGACGACATGTCTGAGGCTAGCAGGAGATTAAGAATTCAAAACATATTTACACTCTGCGGAAACCACAGGGAGCTATCCCATACCCAGACTCAGACCAACAGTACACCAGTGGCTGCTGCTGCTGCTAAAGGGTTTCAGGAGGTTTGTTCTGAGAAGGAGAACAACAACCCTCAGCTCCCATTAACTCCACTTCTAGATTACAACAAACTCCCACCACTCACACCAGGTTCATGCTTGTCTTCTAAACAGAAGATAATGCAAGAAGGGGATGGTTTCTCACCTGAAGTTGAGCACCTAAGATCCACTCCGTTCATTACTAAGAGAAAGGCTCTACACTGATCTTATCCTGTTTCCCCTTTTGTATCTTGGGGCAATTTTCTCGAGTATATGTGCCCATGTACTCCTGTCTGTGTATGCAAGTCTCACTTTTGTAGCGTGGAATGCTTGTGTGATGTGATCATTTTGATTGGAAATGGGATCCATTGATGTCATAAACTCGCATACTAGAGAATGCAAGAGCATCCCACCATTCAGCCCCTGCTTCCATTTCGATATTTGCATTGAACCCTCAAAAGGGTTCACTTTATGTCATTGTGTTTTGCTTCACAGTTGGAGGCTTTGGCCAATAAGCAAATTGACAACAGAAAAGATTGCAACTTTTCTTTTTGTTTCTCACACACAGGGTGGTGGGGGTGGTGAAGAAGTACAAATTGAATGATTCCATTATATTATCATCTCTCAAAAGAAGTTTACAGGAAACAGTAAACAACTCCTTTCCTCTCTGCCTTCTCCAACTCCTGGTAAACTTTACAATGTATATATACCTTTCTCCAAATTGATACAAAGCTCTAGCTACGGTGATGCAAAACAAAGAAGAAGAAAAAATTAAGAAAAAGCAAGAAACTTTTGAACAGCAACAAAAGAAATTAATTGTCAAAAAGAGAAAGAAAAAAAATTGGAGGGAAACAGAGGAGCCTTTCTTCTTTTCTCTTTAAACCCTTTCTCCGATCTCTAAAACCCACAAACAAATTAAACCACCGAAGTTTTTCAATTTTGTGTTTTTAATCATCTCATTGGTAGGCGTCCAAAACTGAAGTTAGATGGCCGGCGGTGTTGCTCTTGGTGGAGCCACCGTCCGCCGTCGGGGGAAGCCCGTCGGCGGCAGCGGAATTTTCGGGCTGATCCTTCGATCGGGCTCTCGACTTTCGGGTGCGAGAATGCTTTGGAATGGATGGCTGGTCCTGGCCGGTGGGGGATTCGTCGCCGCCCTGGTTGGAGGATTTCTTGCTCTTCCTCGACTTGACGCTGCCGCCCGACGACTCCCTGGCCGGGGATCCCATGGCCAGGTTGTTGGAAGAGCGGTGGCGCCTCGACTTCTTCTCGCCGTCTCCGGCCTTGGGTGATCCCGCCGGAGAGCCAGCCGCACTGCTGGAGGTCGACGGCCGCCGCGAGTGCTTTGGCGCGTCGCTGGATGAGCGCCTTGACTTGTGCTTTGACTTTTGGGCTGGCCCGCCGGCTGGGGTCCACGGAAAAAAAAACAAAAAGAGAAACGCCGTTAACCGTTATCAAGTACAATATGTAATTTGTCCAAACTTTTCAAGAGTTGAAGGTGATAGATTATTAAACAAAAAAACAGAACATAAGATGATTTAATATAGAATCAAAATTAATCAATGCATTAGTTATAAAAAAAATTAATCAATGCATTACCCTAAGTTCTAAATTTTCAATTCATAACCCTACTAACCCCAAATAGTAAAGCATAAACTCTAAACCTAAATCTCTAAACCCTAAATCATTCAAATTAAATAAGATCTTGAATAATTTTTTGTGCTAATTCATGAGTTTTCTTGTTTCTCATATCATAAATGAAGATTAACTTCATTTTGTCATGAACCGTCTCTTAAAAATGATGGTTATGTTATGCACCAAAAAAACCGCAAGAAAACTATATATAATTTTTATGGTTTCAAATTTTATGCTACTGAGTGTTTTGTTAATGATGATTTCACTATTAAAAAATATTACTCTTGTTATAGCTTCCTTTTATAGTTTTTGGTTTTTCGTCCTAATTATATTTCCATTGACGGCATAATTGAAATGACAAGACGTTTGACCGATTAGGTTCGAATCTATAAGATCTATCGTTTGATGTTTCGATGAACCTTTACCATCACATGATTCTGGAACATATATATATCCCTTGTTCTTTCTATAATTTACTATCTAAGCCTATGAAATTTCTTAAAAACAAGAAGCCAGGCATGTATGAAGTGGGGAAAGGAATGACATGAGAGAACCTTCAGACTGTGCTTTTGGTGAAGGAAGGCTCTTGAGGTCATCTGTAGAATTCAAAGGGCCGCTCATAGACTCTGGGCTTGATTTAAACTCATTCATCTGCATAAATGTAAAACCCTTGTTCAAACCATAATAACCATTTTTGGTCTTTCAGTTTTGAGGTGTTTTGTTTTTATGTTTGTTGTCACAACTTTATTGAAACATAACATAACCTATTGAAATCACAATAGTATGAGAACTATAACATAATGCAATGTGACATACCCAACTTGGAGTGGTGGAAGAAGGGCCATCACTTCCAATATGTGCTACATGTTTTACATCTGTGGGAAGCCCGATCTCGAATTCTGGCACTTTCTCATCTACTCAAGAAAGAAAAAGATTTCAATTTTGATATGCTAAGATAGAAAAAACATCAACATGTCCTGAAAAGAAAGGATAACATTATTCACCAAAGATGTTATGAGAGATGGTATATTTAAGTCCTTTAAAGAGGCCTTTCACTTTTGTCGTCATTTTTATCTAGGTAAGAGAACCTCTTGTAGCAACAACTATTGATAGATCTGTAATTACAATACACCGCTTAGAGAATGTTGAGAAATCGAGTCAAGAAGAGAAAGCCATAGCAAAAGCAAGATTCTCGAAACATCATTGCCAAAGAGGATCTTGGTTGCTTTGAAATCTCAACATTCTCCTCCCGAGAAACAAAAAATCAAGATGATTGAGAAGTTACGAGGATTGACTTCTCTCTCTTTTTTTCCACCTTTGTTTGTAGGTTTAGGTAATGAACTCAAACAATTCTTGATTGTTGAAGGCCATCAACAACAATCAAGAAGAGAAAGAGGGAGATTACTTTGGAATGCAAAGGAGCAGAAATCTCAAAATGTTGGATAAGGCTAACACATGAATTTTGTTGGTGGTGATGGGGTCAATGGGAAAAACACCAACACCTTTTTCCATTCTAAACTCATTCATCTTCTCCAATGGATATCCTATTTTTCAGCCACATTCATCATGTTGGCAATTGACTAATAAAAGCCATGATTTTGTCCTTTTATCTCCTCCCTTGCTTTTTTGTCTTGTTTCCTCAATACACAGAATATTGCATTTGTCATGAAAGTAAAAAAATAGGCTTCCAAAAATTAACAAAGGTCGTATAATGATCGTTTACACGCATGATACACTTAAACAATAAACGTATGATTGAAATATTATTGTTACTTTGAATTCGAAAGTGGCACAATGCAAACTTAATTTTATGTCGTGTGGCGCGAGCCCATGCAACATATCTTCTTACAAAATATTAAAGGGGTTTGAAAAACCTTCCATGTAACTCTTCAATGCTTCTCCACAGTTAACAGTATTTAGAAGAAAAAAATTTCAATAGTTTCCCTTTCCATTTCCTTTACTCTTTTGTCTTTGTTTCTTGGTGGGATTACTGATGCACACTGAATGTATTCCAAGTAATAAAATCAGTGCTGACTAGCTATTATATACCCCTGGTTACACTAAGTATAACCTAACTAGGGCGACATAGTCTAGTGGTTGACTAAATTCGTATCATCGGGTCAGGAAGCCTATTGCTACTCGAAAGTTCGATTGTTATCTAGTCGACAATATAGGTTGTTTTAGACTTAACTACTACACAAGCTTCAAGAAGGAGAAACGATATCTAGGGTTCGGTTCCCTCTCCTAACATATCAGGAGTTGCGTTGTAACAAATAAGTGATGATCAACTATAGCGACTCAAGCAGTGGCGGAGCCAGAAAATTGGCCAAGGGGGTGTCTTTATCATATCATAAAAAATCACCTATACAGTAGAAAAGTCAAGTTTAAATGAAAGAAAGTCAACAACGCTATACTCTAAATTCATACAATTACATTAAAATAGTTTCACGTACATAGGTTACAACGTCAAACAAATAAGTTCAGTACATACAAGTCAAGACTTCCATTGATCAAGTATTACAAATTAGAACTCAGAAGTACCTTGGAATTGATTTTTTGAAACAAACAAGTGAACTTCAATTGGTACTTCATCACTTTCGGTTTTGTTTAAACAAAAGGCAAGAAATTTCTCTATTGTAGAGCTACAAAAGAAATGAGCGAGTTTAAACAAAATACAACAATTTATTACTATAAATAAAGATGAAAGTGCATTGCATAGCAAAACTTACTCGGTTGAGATTGTAAGAAATTCTTCTTGCAACTGTACTGAATGATCACTGGTTCGAATTTGTATATACCCCTACTCGGAAATTTTTTCTCCAAACCCAAGGGGGGTGCAAGCACCCCCCTCCTCTCCAAGTGGCTCCGCCACTGGACTCAAGGTGTGAGGATAACTAATATGGTAATTGAGGCAATGGTCATGTCTCTCAATTTCCCTTCTAACTATATCAATCAACTCGATGACATATAATTGATCTCCATAGGGATGCAACTTTTCATCTTTAAATCAGTTTAAACCATAAGCACACAACCCAAATGACTCAATAATCATGTAATCACCCAAGTTGCATCAATTGAGTAAGCCCCCTACTTAACCTAGGTGAATGATCCTCTACTCTAGGTTAAGCCTCTAAATTAATATCACATGCAATTAAACATGCATAAAGCATTAAACACATCAATTTAACAAGACATCACTATAATTAAATCATTCCATTCATTACAAGCAAACCCATAGGTTAGGTTTAGGAGGACCTTGCCCTAAATGCATCAAAGTACTATCCCATAAATGAGGGAACTGAGACAAAGAAAGAAGGAGATGAAACATTAACAAAGACCTCTTGTTACGGGAGAAACTCACATGTAATCCTTTTCTTTGAGCTCCTCCTCTTCTCTAAGTTAAACTCATAAACTTTATCTCTCTTCTCTCACTTCTGTTATAGAAAAATCTTATCTCTCCCCTTTGGAGGTCTTCCTATATTTATAAATTTGAAGAATTTGGATAATTTCACAATTGTGAACATCATCAATGTCCCGTGAACTCAAAGTGACATCGTTCTTCCCTGATGTTGCCCGGAGATCACGATCATTAGTTTTGATTAGGGCTGTCGGACGGTTTTCCGGTTAGCGGCTAACCGGTCGGTTTCAACCGAACTGACCGGTTTTCGGTTAGCCGAAAACCCGACTCCAATTATAACGGTCGGTTGGCGGTGGGGAAGGGTAGGGGTTCGGCTAACCGGGGTCGAAAACCGGCGGTTAACCGGGTAACCGACCCCTTCCCTTTCCCCAAAAAGACCCCGCTTCAATCCTCCTCCCTCAACCCTAAGTCGACTCCTTTGAACCAGAAATGACCCCTTCTCATTTGCTTCCCCCTCTTTCGCTTTCCTCTGAACCAGAAACGACCCCTTCTCCTCCCTTCTCAAACTCGATTTCATTTTCTTCTCCCTTCTTCGATTTTGCATGCGATTTCAATTTCTTCTCCCTTCTTCTCCCTTCTTCGCCGCTCAACCCTTCCGCCGAGCCCTCCTTGGTCGTCGATTCCGACATCTTATTTCCCTCTTTCCTCAAATCAAACCTCTTCCCCCCTTCTCAACTTGCTCCGTGATTTTCGCCAAACAACGGCCAGGGAGGTTACGATTCGGATCGCGTTTGGCGGCGGCGAGGAGCACTCCGCCTCGAGGCGCTGGCGGTTCTCGTCGGGACGCGGTGAGCGCGGGCGCGGCGGAGACGCTGGTGGGCAGGCTGCCTGGAAGGAGAGAAGAAGAAGTTGTTTGTGTGGCGGTGTGAAATGGTGGAGGAAGGAAGGAGAGAGAAGTGGTCTGGTGGAGAAGATAAGGTGTGAGATGTGTGGTGAATAATTTTTGGATTTTTTTTTATTTAGAAAAGTTAGTTTTCCGGGTGGCCGGCTAACCGAGGCTAAAACCGAAACCGATCGGTCGGTTGGCCGGCTAACCGTGACTACTCTCACGATCGGTGGTCGGCAGGTATGCAGGGTGGCTCGGTTTAACCGATAACCGGGTTTTCGGTTTTCGATTAAACCGAAACCGACCGACTGCCACCCCTAGTTTTGATCATGATTTTTCTCTCGATCGTGACTTATAACTCACTGCTCAGACGATGGTCTGTGAATCAGAGCGTGGCACCTTCTGTGGTCTCGATTGTTGGAGTTCACAGCCTCAGGATAAAGATTAAAGATGCTGATTGTATGTGCCTCCCATGACTTGGGATCACAATCGAATGTTCTGGTCGTGATCTCCTCCGTTTTGCCTGCAAATTCTTCTCTCCTTTATCTTACACTTGAATACTTGATACCATATTTTCTTTTTAAATAGCTTAAATCCAACACATCTTAACCCGAACAAGTCCAAATATGATAGGAAGCATATATAACCTAAAATGTGAGGTTTAATTCGGGTTAATTGCATGATTGGTCACTGAGATTATAAAAAAGTTCAATTTTGGCCACTCTAAATATTTAAATTCGTTGGTGGTAGTTCAGTTTACTGAAACCATTCACGTTTGGTCCCTCTCCGTCCAACTTTATTAACTTTGGCTGATGTGGCAGTCAACTCTCAAAGTTGACCGTTAACTTAGTGACGTGACAATTAAGAAATAATAAATAAAATTTATTTTATTTTATTTTAATGTCCAACTCATTTTTACCATAAAAATAAAAAATAATAAAAGGAATATGTACATATATGAAAACTTCATATCATAAACCCTAAAAAGAAAAAAGAAAAAAAACTATGCTCCTCAATTGCATTTCTTTCCCAAATCCCAGCACTAGCTGTGCTCTTCACCATCTCCACGGTTTATCTATTCTCTAGAAAACATAAACATAAAAGAACGACCACTTGCCCCCTTCCCATTTATCTTCCATTCCTGCTTTGCTTGTTTCTCTCCCAGAAATCCAGATATCCCCATCAGCTTTTGTCCATCGATTTTTCAATCCCTCACTCTCCCTATCCAAATATCACCATCCAAAACCTTTTCCCAAACCTCCCAAATCCCACCAAACCATTCCCGCTTGCCACCAAACCCGATCCCGGCGAGCCGACGACATCCCGTGCCGTCCACCGATTCTCTTCATCCAAACCCCAAATGTCTCTCCAGCCCGCAGATCTGAACTGTTCAGACCACAACCCGTTACAAACCGCCAGAGCTCAACTGAACTGCTACAGATTCTTTGAGTATTTGAGACAGGTCGGAAATCATCTCCTCGTTTTCACGTCTATAGACGACGACCTCCATCTCGTCGAGCTTAGACGGCGGCATCACCTTCTCCGCCGTCGAACATCTTCAACCCACCAAACAGAGGCGAGGACTTCACATGCAGCAGTTCTCTCGAGCATCTCCGTTGCCCTTGATTGGAAACATGGCGTCAACGACTCAACGTTGAGCACTGTTCAGGCCAAACCTAGGTTCGATTCGCGACCATTGGAAATGGAGATGACCAAATTTCTGAATCTGTTGTTTGAGAATGGTCGGAAGCAAATTGGCATCAATGGTCTTCTTCCTCCAAAGAGGTCGCAAACCCAAGCAAATTTTCTAGGGAGCCGTAAAAGGCGCAAACACAAGTAAATTTTCAAGGGAGCAATAAAAAAGCGCAAACCCAAACCAAGGCACTCATTGCCGATCAACTATGTCATATTTGAAAGGTTAAATACACTTGTATATCCAAAACTTTCATGATTGTGTCAATAGTATCCAAAATTTTCGAAATACCACTTATATCCAATTCCTTCACATTCTGTAACGGTGCTTTTGGATATACAAGTGTATTTTACCAAAAATATATTGGAAAATGGATAGATTTGGCAAAGAACAACTTTCAAACATGGATATAAGTGGTATTTCGGGAAATTTGGATATTATTGGCACAACCGTGAAAGTTTTGGATATACAAGTGTATTAAACCTATTTGAAACAAG